TAGATATCAAATCTTATATGTTCACTTTGATTGGTCATTTAAAAAAAAAAAATAACAGATTTTCGTTTTATAATTTAATTAAATTAATTAAATGACATAAATTAGTATTTTACTTGTTTATCCTTAATAAATTGAATGAAATTTGTTCTAATAAAAGATTTTTGTAATGACATTCTTAAGTAAATTTTTACAAAAGGGAAGGTTAGTTAAGGGTATCTTATAAAGTGTACTCCCCAAATAATAGTATAGGATGATTATCTATATACACATATATATATATATCGGATCGAAGCGGATATATACGTATTTAAATTGTAGTATTTGTGATTTGCTATGCTTTTAACGAATATCAATTTTTAGGCCTGGACATAATACCCGAATCCAAGGAACCAAACCGAACCTGACCCGAAAAACCCGAACCCAAAATTTTAAAATATCCAAACGGGTCCTAAACTTCCAAACGAAAACCCGAACCCGAACCCGATCCGAACCCGAATTCGAGTCCGTACAAGTACTCGAATATATCCGAAATATTATCACGTAGTAATAATTATATTTACAATAACTTAACAGCCTAAAATATTTGGATTTTAAGATATTTGGGTATATTCGGTTAATTAATATTCAGGTTTTATAGATATAATTTTGTATTTTGAAGTAGTTTGAATAGGTTCGGTCATTCGGATATAATTTTTTTAATTTTTGGATATTTCGGGTAAACCCGAATCTAAACCCGATCCGAACCTGAAGTTTTAAAATACCCGAACGGGTTTTAGATTTGTAAATCCGAAATAAATTTGATCCAAACACGACCCGAATACCCGAACGTCCGAGCCTACAATTTTTAATATTTGATCGTACAATTGATATCCGAATTTTTTGAATTGGATTGAAATAAATAACGGATCGAAGTAAATTTAACGGCTATTTTGTCCAGGCCTAAACGCAGCAGCATCATCTATTAGCCGATAACGGTGTCGTTTTTATTTCTTTGTCGGTGAGTAACCTAGAGTGACGTGGCAGCATTCTGCTGGTTAAACGTATTAACGAAAGACTAAAGTATGTAAATCTAATGGACAGAAAAGTTCATGACGTGGCCGAAAGCTAATGGCTAATTCGGTCTACGTTTAAAACGGAACGTATTTAAAGAACAACAGATTAAGCAGAGGAAGTTATACTAACTACTAATCTCTCTCTCTCTCTATCTGACTCTTTGATCGGAAAAAATGGCGGAGAAAAATGCGAATGCGATGGACGGTGCGATTAGGGTTAGTGGAATGCAGTTTTCTTACGATGTTCAAGATCCTATTTTCTTCGATTTTAACCTCGATCTTCCTGCTGGATCTCGTTGCCTCTTGGTTGGTGCCAATGGATCTGGTACAAATTAATTTCGAATTACTTTTGTGTGTGTTTTGGTTTTGGTTTTGGTTTTTCTGTTTCTATGAATCTTAAGTAGATCGATTTGGGGACTTGAATGTATATTTGATTTTGCTTTGGTAGTGATCGAATTCGATTTGATCATGTTTAATTCGTTCGAATTCGAGTATAATGTAGAAATTGTGAGTCCGTAAGATCGATTTTGCGGTTTAGCAATCGATTCTTTTGTTTTCGTATATTATCATATAGGACCGCAGAAATCTGGATTAGAAAAACCGCGATTAAATCGCGGAAATGTCACCGGAAAGTTGGTCGGAGCAACTTTGTCAAAATTGTTGTTCCAACATGTCTAATTCTGTTTGTTTAATGCTCGGATTTTCGATTCGATCGAGTTTTCATCGACGAATTCAACTTTTCTGTTGGGTTTGATTCGGTTCAAGAGATGATCGTTGTTGCGCGTTTTATTGACAGGAAAAACTACATTATTGAAGATTTTGGCTGGAAAGCATATGGTTGGAGGAAAGAATGTGGTACAAGTGTTGGATCGCTCAGCATTTCATGATACAGAGCTTGTTTGTAGTGGTGATTTGTCTTACCTTGGAGGATCATGGAGTAAAACTGCTGGTTCTGCTGTGAGTACTGAGATTTTAAGTTTATACACTGCAAGAGTTTGATGTGAGAACGTTTTGTTTCTAATTCTTTGAATTTTTTTAGGGTGAGATTCCACTTCAAGGAGACTTCTCAGCAGAACATATGATATTTGGAGGTGGGATTGTCTGATCGAAGTAGGAGTTTTGTTCGACACTGGTGAATTGTTTCTTTGTGCTTATTAAGATATGTATGTTTTGTTTTTAGTTGAAGGGATTGATCCTGTGAGAAGAGAGAAGTTGATTGATCTTCTTGATATCAATCTTCAATGGCGTATGCATAAGGTTTCTGATGGGCAGAGACGTCGAGTGCAAATATGTATGGGTCTCTTACATCCATTCAAGGTAGTATAAACAACTAGAGATTGATTCTGTAATCTAAAACCCACAGCATCATGGTCTCTGGTTTCTGTTTCATCATATCTAATCCTTAAATTGTAATGATCACAGGTGTTACTACTGGATGAGGTTACTGTTGACCTCGACGTTGTTGCGAGGATGGATTTGTTGGAATTCTTTAAAGAAGAATGTGAACAAGTAAGCCATTCACGAATCTCTCATCATCTTAAAGCATAATCAACCATACTAATATAAGGCCACAAGCTTTTTCATTTTTTGTTTCTTGTTGCGTCTTTATGATCCGCTTTAGCTTTAGAGGTCCCTGAGCTTATGGTTAGAAATATCAAATGCTAATTTTCTTGTTTTATATTGGAGTAGAGAGGAGCTACAATTGTATATGCAACTCATATTTTCGACGGTCTGGAGACATGGGCTAGTCATTTGGCTTACATTAATGGAGGAGAGCTGAAACTCTCGGCCAAATTAGATGATATCAAGGATCTCAAAACCTCACCAAATCTGCTTTCTGTGGTTGAATCTTGGCTCCGGTCTGAAACCAAAGTCGAGAAGAAGACGAAGAAGAAACCTGTTGTTACCTCTCCATTTATGTCGTCTAGACAAATGGCATATTACCGATGAATCTTAACTTCTTTGAGAGATCAGTAAGAATAAGAGCGCTTCTATATATATGCCTTTGTTTTCTATGGTACTTCATTTTTTAGAATCTGATAATTTTTATCACACATATGAAAGAAATTGAAAGAAATTCTGTAAAACTACGTTTTTTAATTAAATTATTATTCTACGTTAATAGATCGGATATTACACGTATGCCTCCTCAATACTAGTATTTTGGGTATAATTCTACTTTCAAGTGTTGTTTCCAATTAAGGCTAATGAATCTTGTGACTCTAGTTCAAGATTTACTTTTCTCACAAAATTACAGTCGTTGGAAATAAATATCTAAGAACTTTGAGTTGTTTCAATGTTGTTTGGGCAAAAAGTAACCAATTCATCTAGAGTTTACGGAAAACACCAAGAGGGCTGAGAACTCATCACTAGCCCAAGACTCAAGATTTACTAATTACTTGATACCAATAGTTACACAATGGTCGCTAGTTTGAATGACATTTGGGAGAAAGCTATTACATGCTTTGGTTTCCGGTCTGAGAGGATGTACGGCTAAGATTCAAAACTTTTTAGGGCATGATTATCAAGGGTTTCTTAGAAATGACTCTTAGTAATTTTTTAGTATTAAAATCTTAAGATTTACCTCTTACAAACATGTTTTGGCTCTTAGCTAAGAAACCTTTCTTACCAATCTTACCATTTGCCATTTAATTAAATACTTTTTAATACTTAAGATTTACCTAAGATTTGGCTAAGAGCCTACCAATAAGCATTTCCAACAAGCCCTCAAACATTCAAATTTGAGGAGTTTTTGAACTCCAACAAACCCTTGAACCCTTATTTTTTGAGGATGTGAATAGTGTGCACCCCCAAATTTGAGGGTGCCTATTCACATCCTCAAAATCTTTCTCACATTTCATTTTAGTCCTTTAACTTTATATATCTTACAAATAATTTTATTAAATTCAATTCTTTCAAATATAGTCATATAAATTCAAATACATTAAAATTATTAAAACATAAACAACTTAACATTTAAAAACAAATCATTTTATGTATGGGAGTATATTGAGTAATTTTGTAATTTTACATGTAATTTTATAAATCACTTTATGTTTTATTTTATGTTTCTTTTCTATTTTATATACAATTTTGTATTATCATATAAAGTTTTGTTTTTAATATTGTTTGACATAATTGCTTTTATAATGTATGTTTTATATTTATTTATGAAACTTTTATCATTATAACTTATTATTGTTAATATTAAGGTCTATACAGTAAATACAAAAAGTTTTAGAAATAAATTTGAGGATGTATCATTGGAGATTTGGAGTAAGAGACCCTCAAACCCTTATTTTGAGGGTTTGTTACCTTCAAAATGAGAGTCTTGTTGGAAATGCTCTTAGTAGTTCAAAATAGAAAAAAAAAAAGTAATAGTTACACACTTACATTTGTTTCAATGTATGCCTAAATCATTTTTTGTTGTCATAAACTAATGACTCAAAAAAAAAAATCAAGAATATGTCACAAATTTTGGTTGATTATATTTGTACAACCATTTAAGTTTAATCATGATTGGTTAAAACTAGCAAACATTCAGCTTTGTGTTTTTTTTTTTAAAATCAACTACACAAAATACAAAAAAAGTATGTGTTTTGCGTATAATTTTTTTTTTGTAACAAAATAAATAAATTAAAATAAGTTAAAACAATGTTTGCATGATTAAACAAGTCTGTTAGAGCATGTTACGCTTAACCTCTAAATATTAACTTTTGTTCCCCTCTCTTGACACAACTTTTTTTGTTTGTTTCCTACACAAAACCTTAATCAGGATATTTTTGTTAATTTATCCGACTGTAAAAAATAATTAAAACCTTACTTGCCAAAAAACAAAACACAATTTTTTTTGTTAAAAAGGGAAACCAAAAAAAAAAAACAAAGGAGGACGACAAAAATGTCACAAATCTCCTCCATTTCTTCTCGCCTCTCTTCGTATTAATTTACCCAATTTTTCCTTTTTGTTGTTCAACGAAAATCTGATTTCATACCCAATTCCCGGGCCAAATCCATCTAAAGTTTGGTGCTTTTCGTTTTGGGATTACTTCGATTCCTAAATCTGATTTAGGGTTTTAATCAATTCGGCAATCGGGTTTCTTGGGATGAAGTATTCGGAGTTTCGGATTTATTGATTTTCATGGTGGGTTTTGTTTTTGAAGCTCGTTAATGAAGAATTGACTTCTGGAATCTCGATCTCTGAAGGTTTTTTTCGATGTTAAATTCGTGAATCTGGGGTTAAATGCTGAATTGGAAAACAGATCCAGGTGCTAATTAAGGAAAAAAGAGGTTTCTTTTTTGATATTGATATTTGGGAAATTTTGAGGTTTGAGAGAGATCAGAGAAGATGGATCTTGTAATCGGTGGGAAATTTAAGCTTGGAAGGAAAATTGGTAGTGGATCATTTGGAGAGCTTTATCTAGGTAACAAAAAAGATGATTTTTTTGTAAATTTCTTCAATTTAATATTTTGGGTTTTACATGTTGTTGTTAAATGTTGAGCATTTTTTTTGCAGGTGTAAATGTTCAAACAGGAGAAGAAGTTGCTGTCAAGTTGGTAATAATTTACCACATTTATCAACAACATTAATCTCTCTATACAAAAAAAAATGTTTTCTTTGTAATAATTCTTGTCACATGAAGGCTATGAGAAATTTGCTTTGTTGTTGTTGTTGTTGTGTGCTTTGGATTTGGTTCTTTACTTTTTTAATTCTCCTTTTGATTGATGCCAATTATTAGGAAAATGTGAAGACCAAGCATCCACAACTTCATTATGAGTCAAAGTTGTATATGCTGCTTCAAGGAGGATGTAAGTGTCACTTAAAACTAGCATTATAACATAGTAGAACTTTCTTAATTCGCGATGATTCGTTTTATATGTTTCTTCATTCACAGGCTTTTATTATTTTGCGAATAACTAAAATAGTTTTTGTTTTGTTTTGTTTTGTTTTGAAGCTGGTATTCCGAACCTCAAGTGGTTTGGAGTTGAAGGTGATTACAGCGTAATGGTTATTGACCTTCTAGGTCCTAGTCTTGAAGACTTGTTTAACTATTGCAACAGGAAGTTCACATTGAAAACGGTTCTCATGCTTGCCGACCAATTAGTGAGTTTATGTATCTGCTAGTTGGTTTCCAGCTCTTCTGTTTCATTGAATATATGAATGTGTTTCTAATGGAGGTTATTGTTCTTTCTGTTTACGTTTCAGCTTAACAGGGTTGAGTATATGCATACTCGAGGTTTCCTTCACCGTGATATAAAACCTGACAACTTTTTAATGGGACTTGGACGCAAAGCAAATCAGGTGCTTAAATCTATCTTTGTGTAAAAACTTGTGCTTAGACATATTATGCTTCAAACTTCTGAGATAATTTCTCTCTATTGCAGGTGTATATCATTGATTTCGGACTAGGGAAGAAATACAGAGACCTTCAGACTCACAAGCACATTCCTTACAGGTAAGAAGATGATGTGTTCTCCCCTTTTCCATTATCCTTACTCAGAATCTGCATCTTTGCATCTTGATTTCCGTGAACTTAAAGAAAATTTCAAATATTGTGGCAGAGAAAATAAAAATCTCACTGGGACAGCTCGGTATGCAAGTGTCAACACTCACCTTGGAGTCGGTAAGAATGTTGACCTGTGGAATTTTATGTATTTTTCTTCAAATGATTAATTAGTTTTCGCTGGTGTTTGAACAGAACAAAGTCGAAGGGATGATTTGGAATCACTTGGTTATGTTCTTATGTATTTTCTCAAAGGAAGGTTAGAGTCTACAGTTTCTCCGCCTTAGTCTGTCAAATTCTGTATATTTTCTTGAACAAAGTTTAAACTATATGTTTTTTTGGGGCTATCAGCTTACCATGGCAGGGATTAAAAGCTGGGACAAAGAAGCAGAAGTATGACAGAATCAGCGAGAAGAAAGTGTCAACTCCTATAGAGGTTACAACAACTTTTCAATCCGCTAGGATTTTCATTTGGCATTTATTGGTTATCTAGCTTTTCCAACTGAGCTTAGTATGTTAATGGAATGTTTTGATGTAGGTGTTGTGTAAAAACCACCCGTCTGAATTCGTTTCATACTTTCATTACTGCCGATCTTTACGGTTTGATGACAAACCTGATTACTCTTACCTCAAGAGGCTTTTCCGTGACTTGTTCATCCGAGAAGGTGCTTATCTTAACATCATTATCCCGAGAAATTTTATTTGCTTACTGTTTCAAGCTGCTCTCGTCTTATTTATTCAAATTGTTGAAACTTTTACAGGTTATCAATTCGATTATGTATTTGACTGGACAGTCCTAAAGTATCCTCAAATCGGAAGTAGCTCTGGTTCTAGTTCACGAACAAGGGTGATTTAAAAAAATCTTTTTCTTGTATTTTTACTCTCTTTGCTTTTGAGTTTCTCTATGCTTACGTAAGTGTAAATCTTCGGGTTTTCCAGCATCATACAACAGCGAAACCAGATCCTATCGAAAGACAAGAGAGGATCCCAGGTAAAATTCTGCTTCTCCTATACTTCTATTGGAAATCTCAGAACAACACAAATTCATTCTTCACACTAATTTTACTCTTCTTTTTATTTACCATTCGTGTAGGAAAGGAAACAACCCGTTATAAAATCCCAGGTGCAGTAGAGGCATTCTCCCGAAGACACCCGACTACAACTTCTACGCCACGTGATCGTTCCAGATCAAGAAACTCAGATGACGGACCTTTCTCTAAGCAGACAGTAAAAATCGTACTCTTTACATACATTGATCAAAACCGCTAAATAAGACAAAGACTTAACTGTATTTTTTTATTTGGCAGCACGGAGACTCCGAAAGAGCAAACAGTTCCTCAAGATACAGAGCATCTTCTTCTAGGAAAGCCGTTGCTGCTTCAAGCTCCCGGCCAAGTTCTGCAGGTGGACCAAGCGAAAGCCGAGCTTCAAGTCGTCTGGTTTCATCAAGCGGCGGTGGTGGCAGCGGTAGTGGTAATGGCCGTCCCTCGACTAGCCAGAGAGTCCAAGCTGGATATGAATCCAAGACTTTGTCTTTCTCTCGTGCAACAGCTTCAAGAAACACTAGGGAAGATCAATTGAGAAGCTTCGAGCTTCTCTCTCTTCGGAAATAAAGCTAAATGATGAAGAGAGAGAGACAGCAAACTCCATGAAAAACCCAAAGAAATTACCTATGAGAAAGATGAGAATCTTGGTTTGAGGGAATTCATATATTTGAGCTGATGAAATCCTCAGATCTTTTACATGTAATTTCAGCTTCAGCTTGCAGAGATCTTTCCCACCACTCGTCGTTTGTTTATGTAATCGTGATGTGTTAGACAAAATAACAATCAAAATGTAGAGAGAGTTTCCATGTAAAAACGGTGAGATTTCTATCCGTATATTCGATTACTTCGAACCTATCTGTACTGTACTGTAATAAACAAAACAATCAACTGCTCTTTGGTCTCTTTTAATGCCAAAGCTCTTTTTTTTTTTTTGGGCAGTCATATTCTTGTTAACTTTTGGCTTTAATCTCAGGTAAATTTTGTGTTATATTTCTCTCCGTGGTAAGATAAAAAGGTTTATAATAATTTCATTTAAAGATTTTCTACAAATCACCCCTAGAAAACATAAATCTCAAAAAACCTTACAAATATCAATTTACAAAATCCATCAAATCAAATTTAATCTATGATAATTTTTACGGTCACATACATTATACTCCCTCCGTTTCATAATATAAGTCGTTTTAGCTTTAAGCACGCAGATTAAGAAGATATACTTTTAAAAAGTTCAGCCAATCACAACAGAGACGGCATATATAAATAATTATAAAATATTAAAATAATATATAATTTGCATAGGAATTTGAAAACGACTTATATTGTGAAACAAAATTTTTTCTCCAAAACGACTTATATTGTGAAACGGAGGGAGTATTTTTTTTCAACCAAACCCATACTTATATTAATCTTAACTTGCGGATACAACAACATAAAACGAACGGCTAAAATCGTGGATGATAACCGGAAGCACCTTCAAAAACGGCTGCGATCAATCAGCAAGGTTGGTCGGAGGAAGATTGCCGGTGGGAGCATAAAACATATGCATAAAAGTAGGTATATGTTTTAATTACTTCTTATTAATAATCGGGCTTTTGTTCGTCCGGTCTATCCTTTTACCATCTTCGTAACTTTATGGGGATTCACATTTATAGGATTTCTCTTTGTAATGCATATTTCGATGGGCTCAAAAGAGATGTAACGCAAAATGTCTTAAGGAACTTGAGAGTAACATACTTCTTTATCAAAAAAAAAACTTGAGAGTAACATACTTGATGCGACTAACCATATTATTGTTGATGGTGCTAGCGAAGGTAAAAAAACAGATCACCGAGATTCAGAAGTATATGTTATGGAGCTCTCTGAGAAGCACACATAAGTTTCATGGAGGCAAAAAAAAAAAAAAAAAAAAAAAAAAAAAAAAAAAAAAAAAAAAAAGTTTCATGGAGGTCGCAAAGAAGCAAGCCTTATTCAATTACCATTGTGAGATGACTTGATAATTTACGCTTATAATTTGCATATTGTATTGTTGTTTTTATATTTAAATATTTTAACTAACATTATGATTGTAAATTCAATTTATAATTTTTATTTCGATTATTACTAATATTTATTAAATTTGTTAGTTAATTCTTTCTACTATTGTAATAAATTCATAATTTGCATTTATTTTAAAATATAGAATTCTCTCAAAATTTATTAATATAAACTGAAGAACATATATCAATGCGACAAACAACAAACACTTCTAGCAAAAAAATTTAGACGTTGTAGTTGATCTTTTTAGCTAATCACTGTGTTGATTGTTACACTACCATTAACAACTTACCAAATATACAAAATCTAAAAAATTTTGATAGCTATCGCTGCAATTTATTTTTACATTTATTTTTTGAGATTAGTGACAGTCTCACAGTCAAATAAACATGTTTTGATCTAGTCATGGGTGTTCTGGTATTCAGATCGGTTCCGGTTCGGTTCCATCGGTTTCGGTTCTAGAGTTTTAGAATCCATTCGGGTATTTTAAAATTTTGGTTCGGTATCGGTTCGGTTTTAAGTGTAGTATCCATTCACGTATTTTGTTTCGGATATTTCGGTTATTTTGTAGTATTTTTGGATATTTTTGGGTATTTTTAATATTTTTATTATTCGGTCTAAATTAAACTAATATTTTTGGATATATAATTGTATTTTTGGATATTTTCGGGTTCTTCTCGTCTTTTATTTTCAGAAGTTACTTTTGTAAGCATTTCTCCTCCTAATTGGGCAACCAATCAAGGAGTTTTTTAATATTTAATGTGTGGTTGACAAAAAAAAAAAATGTATTTCAGGTATTTTTAGTACCCGAAATATTTCGGTTCGGTATTGATTCGTTTCAAGAATTTAATATCCGTTTGGATATTCTTAAATTTTGATTCGATTTTGGTTCGGTTCTTTTTGTTTTGATTCCGGTTCGGTACATTCGGTTGGGTTAATTTGCCGAAGCCTAATTCGATCGTTGTTGCGTTCGTCCACGACACCCAAAACGAACATGATCGCAACGGAAGTACTAGTAGAAAGGATAAAGACGCTGGATTTGGTTGACTTTTTTTGGTCAACGTTGAGGACTAAAAGTGGAAAACAAATACCACCACCGCTACTGGACTGAGTATTATTAAATCAAATTAATTACTTTTCCTTCTCTTTAATTCATTTTCTCATCAATACATAAACTTTCCTGGAAAATTTCTATCGTCTTCGAACTCTTTGTATTTCCTCTATTTTCAAACTGGTTATTGATCGGAGAGAGAGATCAGTGTTCTTTGATCTTACACGTTTATGCTTGAATCTTTGTATTTTAATTGCAGAAGAAGTTTGTATAGGACTCTATTTTGCTTATCGAATCGTTTCTTTTGTTTTCGTTTAGTTTCTCTTCTTCGAGTTGGTGTTTCTCAACTAAGTTAGTAGAGTCTCTCGATTGGTCAGAGAAGCTTTTGTTGATTTCGTGGTGATTTTGGCAGAGAAATTTAAGAAATTAGGGTTTCGATCCAATTTTAGAATTGACTCAAGGAATTTCGAAATTGGGGTTTTGTTGTTGTAGTTCTGGTTCACAGTGAATAAGATAAAAGATCATGGAAATCGATGGTGTGAACGATGTTCAGATTTTGGATCCTGAGCTCTTGCAGCTTCCGGGTTTGTCTCCTGTATCACTTAAGGCAAACCCTCATATTGCTGAAGAACTCTTCTCCCAGTGGCTATCGCTCCCTGAAACTGGCCGATTGGTAATTTAATTCCCAAGCCTCTATGTGGTTTTAGTTGATTGCTTGAAACTCTGGCTCCTTGGAATCAGTAGTATGTATATGTTGGTTATTGTTTCTTTGTTTAGTTTCTTGTTCATTTAATAGTTTGTGCTTGTTTATGTATGCTGATACCTGTTCGTAAGTTCTTTGTTACTAAAATTTTCCTGGTGATTTCACGTCAGTTTTCTGCAGCGCATGGTTCTACATGCTTATTGCTATTACTGAACCACGGCAGTTGCATATTTAGTAATTTTGTTTATTTCTTTTAGATTTTACTTAGTGTTAGATAAAGAGAGGATGCTTCAATAGCACATTTAGGGCTTATAATGACTTAGGTGATAATAGTACTGGGATATTACATGTCTCTGCTAAGCTTGAAAAGTATTTGTATTTGTGTAGTACCAATTTTCACTTAAAGCGCCTGAGAATATGGTCCAGTGATGTATGACGGCTTATGTTGGTGAAGAAACTTTTGGTGGAAGTTTTTGTTTATGATTTTATGTGGTCCTCGTTTAACAGTTCATCTGTGTGATGTTTGTGCAGGTCAAGTCTTTAATCGATGATACTAAATCGAGTACCCCAGTCAGTGTATCCAAGAATTGTACCAGTCTCAATGTTGCTTGCGGAAGTGCATTGCCATCTGTGTTTCTGAACAGCGGCACTCCCCCACTATCCCCACGAGGCTCACCTGGGTCTCCCCGTTTCTCGAGGCAAAAGACGAGCCCTTCTCTACAGTCTCCTCTGAAATCAGTCAGAGAACCAAAGCGCCAACTCATTCCTCAGGTTTGATTTTATATTCAGCTACTACTCCTCATATGGATGTCTTACAAACACCAGGAAAAGGCATTACCTTGCTTGAAAGTTTAGATCATGATTTTGATTGTTTAATATATGCTCACATTATTGTTGAAACAAGATTGTAATAGCTTTCTAAATAGATGCAGAACCATGAGAACAAATATAATAGAAACTACTTTCTTCGGTTAAGTAGAATAGGACAATTTTTTTTAACAAAATAATGAGAAAGAGTAAGTTTATTATGGTAATCCGTTTAACATGTTACATAGTTGAAGGGTAGCTAATAGTGTTCAACATTCTTCGTTGACACTCCTATGCCTTGATATGCTATGCAGTTTTACTTCCAACATGGGCGTCCACCTGCGAAAGAACTAAGGGAGCAATGTATATCCATGGTCGATCAATTTTTTAGTAACTACATAGACGGACTTCATATGGATGGTGATGTTTATATATAAGCTTTTCTACATCAGTCCTGTTCTGTAAGGAATAGATAAACAGTTGATCTTACAAACACAATCTTGCTATTGTTCAATTGCAGAATTCAAATCCATTACTAAAGAAGTCTGCAAGCTGCCTTCTTTTCTTTCTTCTGTACTATTTAGAAAGATAGATACGAGTTGCACTGGTATCGTTACAAGGTAAATCATTTTGTACTTTCTTTTCATATGTGTAATAGTAGTTAAGTGTATATATACAGTTATACACAAGTATTCATGTGTGTTTCATGTAATATAATAATAGAACACATTGTTCTGGATTTCCAGATGCACGCTCAGCTATTTGTTTCGTAAATTGCACACCCTTAAAAGAAATGGACTGTGGCATAATAATTTGAATACTTGATTGTTATCTTTTTTTAATCGAAGCCACTGTTATACAATTTCTATTTACTTTCAATAAAATTAGTGTGCTCGATTTGATATATTGTTTAAAACATTTGTAATTAAGCAATATTGAAGTATCTACGCTGTAGATTTTCTTGGAATTGATACATCTTTAACTAGACAAATCTTGATTACTAATCATAGAAATATACAACCGCTGTAAAAACTTTCTGTTTAGCTAGTATCTTTAAATACACCACATTTGGTTCCTGAATATAATGTTTTCCTGCAGGGATGCATTTATCAAGTATTGGGTTGATGGACATATGTTGGCAATGGACGTAGCCTCACAGATATATAATATTTTACGGCAGCCAGGTTGCAAGTACCTCAG